CACGAGGGGGTGGGTGGCCAGCACCACGCCCGACCGCCTTTGTCTCCCTAGTGGCGATGTTTACACACCACACCAGGTACTCATTTAAGGCTGAGTCGACCTAGGGGAGGCCCAGGACCGGTTCAGATAATCGTCACTGGTGTTAGCCGTGAGCGGGAATCGAACCCGGGTCGCCAGGTTCATAGCGCAGCGCGCTAACCGCTACACTACCGCTCCTCACACACACACACATCATCACACACACACCATCACACACACACCATCACACACACACACCATCACACACACACATCATCACACACACACACACACATCATCCGACACACACACACACATCATCACACACACACACATCATCACACACACACATCATCACACACACACACTCTCCATCCACGCCGAGGGGGGGGTCATAGCGAGTAGCAACAGCAAAGAGGTGGGTGGCCAAGCACCACGCCCGGCCGCCTTTGTCTCCCCCAGTGACGATGTTTATCACACCGAACCAGGTACACACAGACACACACAACAACCGCCATTCGTCACTTAGTGGCGGTGGCGTCACCACGGCGCCTGTGCCAGGCTAGGTGCACGTTGAGGCCACGTGAAGTGTCGAACGCCCGCTGGCAGGAGGTCACGGGGCAGACCCAGCAGGTGCCACGGGTCGACTGACTGAGATGACCGAGATGGCTGGCTGATGCACCACCTGTGCCCCCCTACTGTGTCAACTTGCTGTGCTTTATCCGCCCGGCTTTCGCTCGTTGTTGTGAGCATCGCTCTTCTGTCCTCCGTTGTTGCTGGAGGGCGACTGCCTCCAACTGCCCAGTAGCGTCCTTCACGAGCCTCCTCCACAGAGGTCGATCTTGACACCGCTGGTACCAGTCATCGGCAAGTCCACTCAGCTCCACATCCTCCTGTACCCACATCACTCGCCTGCCTCCCTAATCACCGATATATTCGCTGTAGGCATAGCGACTGTGTGGCTTCTGTGTTATCACCCGCCTCTCGCTCCTTGGATATGCCGATGTTACACATTAGACGAAATGGTACAATGCGTAACGGGTGACGTTGATTCAGGGTCGGGATCGAACCCACGACCTCCTGTGTACCAGGCGAGGTAGTTAACATCTCCTAGCCACTGTGATGATGGTGAAAGACGCAAACTCCAAATATACAGCAGGCGTCAGGGTCGGGATCGAACCCACGACCTCCTGTATACCAGGCGAGGTAGTTAACATCTCCGAGCCACCGTGATGATGATGAAAGACGCAAACTCCAAATATACAGCAGCAGGTGTCAGGGTCGGGATCGAACCCACGACCTCCTGTGTACCAGGCGAGGTAGTTGACATCTCCTAGCAACTGTGGTGATGATGAAATACGCAAACTCCAAATATACAGCAGCAGGCGTCAGGGTCGGGATCGAACCCACGACCTCATGTATACAAGGCGAGGTAGTTAACATCTCCTAGCCACTGTGGTTATGATGAAAGACGCAAACTCCATATACAGCAGCAGGCGTCACGGGTCGGGCTCGAACCCACGACTTCCTGCATACCAGGCGAGGTAGTCAACATCTCCTAGCCACTGTGGTGATGATGAAAGACGCAAACTCCAAATATACAGCAGCAGGCGTCAGGGCCGGGATCGAACCCACGACCTCCTGTACACCAGGCGAGGTAGTTAACATCTCCTAGCCATCGGTAACGTAGCCACCACAGCCCCTGCTAGAGAGACGGAGATAGCCTTGAGGCACACACACACGCACGGTGAGACGTGTATGATTACAAGACCGTTGACAACATGTCTGGGACTGCTCAGGAAATGAGAAATTTAATCTTGGATCATTATCACTGCTATTAGAGGGGGTACGTGCATCGGACCGTCGGCCGCATTCAAGCTAAACCGTGCAATGTCGTCGGTTTACGCGAGATGAAAACCGGCGCGGCGCCCGGCATACTAACGTGGAATTTCCACCGCCGTTTCGAGGGATGTTGGTGCAGCGAAACGTCGACCCAGCGTCGTAGTTGTTGTCGTGGTGAGGGTTCGGCAAACGGCAGTGACCACCGCCGGATTATTCTCGTAGCAAAAGTAGCTACCAGGGGCGTGCGATCAGGGGAGGCAGGGGAGACAGAGCCTCACCTGTAATACTCCAATGAGAATAGCTGTTACGAAAAGTAAAAAAAAAGAATAACACTGGTCAACACAATTTTTCTGACATAATGTATTCCAACGGTCGTAAGGTACATGCAGCTACTACACATGCAGCTACTACACATGCAGCTACTACACATGCAGCTACTACATATGCAGCTACTACATATGCAGCTACTACACATGTAGCTACTACTACACATGTAGCTACTACCACACATGCAGCTACTACACATGCAGCTACTACAAATGCAGCTACTACACGTGCAGCTACTACACGTGCAGCTACTACACGTGCAGCTACTACACGTGCAGCTACTACACATGCAGCTACTACACATGCAGCTACTACATATGTTGTAGCTACGGGCCCCGCACTTTCAAAGCGCTAAATGCTTTCAAGCTATCGATTCCGGTTCAGTGATTCTGCACTTGCTCTATTACTATAGTACTATA